TCTTCAGGAACGATAGAAAACATGAAGGCAGAGACGAATAAAAACTGCAGCGATATATGAGAAACCTCGAAACTACTGCAATAGATAAGAAACCCTAGCATAAAAGGAGAGAAAAAAGATAGCGACAAGCTTCAGCCCGTTTCCACATTTATAGATGGGAAAAACCCTAACCCTGCTTGGTTCATATTCTAACCTTCAGACATGGAAGATTCAGTTATGTCCCTAGAATCAACTGGCACACCCAATACCCAAAGATAGATTGCTATTACCATTTACAGGTGGAAATATGTTTATCTTACAATCACAAGAATAAATCACAATTTTTTTGCAAAAGCCCTCATCTTATTAATTATAAAGAAGTTTGACCACATGACCAATAAAAACCTCACTAATCTTTATCAACCTCCAAGGATCTCCATGGCAGAAGTTCATCCTACTATACAGCTACAAGCAAAACAGAATAACGAAACACATACAGTGCACATATATAGAGAACAAGATAATAAAAGGCTCAGATATTAATCAGCTTATCAATCAAGAATATTCTGAAGAAGAACTGGCATAGAGGTTAATGATGGTCCTCACAGTCGACTCTGTCTCAGTAGTACAAGAACCTAATATAAAGGAAAATCGAAATAACAGACATGGAGCTATCAACGACATTAAGATCACAACTGAAAAATATAAAATCACTATCTTTTGGAACAAAATGGATAATTAAAACGCTGAGGAAACATTAAATTAAAAAAGTGCATAAAAAACTATTCAATTTTACGACACTTTGAAGACCATTGACAAAACGATAATAAGAATCCAAAGAATTAAGTAACAAAAGAGAAAACTTAATTAGTGGCTCATATTAAGATATTCAACCATTGACTTTTTTTCATCATGGTTCATAAACTCAGAAGCGTGGATAAATTCGAATCATCGCCATCAATTTACATAAAAATCAACATGGAAATGTAAAACTAGAAATTATAAAAATAAAAATAAAAATAAAAATAAAAAAAACAAAATAAGGAAATTTAAAACCACAACAGAAAAGGACACAAAAATCCCCAAAAAGCAATTTAATAACTAGGCCACAAGAAAAATTCAAACAAAACGCCTAACAAATTGACATAAGCAATGATATGTTTTTACAATTTCAAAATGCTCGTCAGTATGGCAAAACAATACATGGAATATAGTTTCCAATGTCAATTATATGACAAAAATTTAGCAAACAGATGTTGGCATGAGACATCAAGACCTCAGTAACTATCCAGCGGTAATGTCACAGTAATGCAAGAGCAACTCCAAGTAGGTTCTCCTTGTATTCAAGGACTTGGAACCCTTGCCCTCCAACATGCATATTGTCGTCACCAGCCTCACTAAATTTTTCATAATAATACGACAGAACCACAAGTCATCCATACTTCAAACAATATGCAATTAAACTTGGAAATTTTGTAAAAATCAAAAAACCATGTTCATAGAACACTGAATTTTCCAAAAAAAAAGACATGATCACAAGTCATTCATACTTCAATGTTCAAACAATTCGCTATTAAACTTGGCCTCAAACAATTCGCTATTAAACTTGGCAATCTTGTAAAAATCAAAGCACCATTTTCAAAGAATTTACTTCATCAAATGCAATGTGATAATACAAGAATTAAAACAGCAAACACTTGGTGATTGATCGAGCATGAAAATGCGTCATGGCATCAGAAAAAATCCATTGATGTCATAGGAATGCAGTGGCAACTCCAAGTAGGTCTCCTTGTGAACAAGGTCTTGGAACCCCAGCATCTCCAAGATGGAATAAAATCAAAACATCATCCCCTCTTTTAGCATATCCAACTTAAAGAAAAAAAAAATGGAGGATAAATTTAGCATTAAAGCCATCATGTAATCTCCAATAAAGTCATAACAAAACAAGGGCTACGCCAAGTAGGTTCTCCTTGTAAAACAAGGACTTGGAACCCCAGTATCTCCAACATGGACAAAATCATCATCAGCAAATAACATACCCAATTGATTAATTGGAAACCAAGCAAAGAACATCGAATTCATTGATCGAAAACCAAATCAAGTGGTCCTAATTCTATAGAAATAGAATATAAGAGAAAACTCATATTACATGAATATTCAGAGGAGTGAGATGATCAGATCAAATATAAGAAACTTTCACAAAACCATCATATCTTGGAATGGCAATCTAGTAAACATCGAAATCAAACCTCGAAAAAATAAACTAAATATAGGAGAATGGTACAATCTAGAACAACATCAAAAAATGACAGAAAATTCATGAAAATGACAGAAAATCCAAACCAGTGAGGCGAAGTTTTTAGGCACTAAACCATTAGAAATCGGAATGTGCCCACGTTAAACTCGCCATGGTTGGTTTCTGCCTCCATGACTGCGCATTTGTGGCACCAAAAATCTCCACAAGCATAAGGTGAGGCATCAATATTATTTACATTTTACATGATTAACTGCCCACAGAGGTGACGAAATACAATGGCGACAAGGCTTGAAAATTATAATAGCTAAACAAAGATGTTGTTGTTGCTTTGACACAGGTATAGACTGAGAGATCGGCCAACCTGCAACACTCAACAGCTGATTCATATTGCACAGCCATTGGGGCTTTCATCTTCATGAAAACATATAAGAGAAGCCCGGGGTTTGCATCGTGCGATGTCAGAAGTAGCAGAGAAAAATTCTAGGTTATAAAACCTTAGATTTTGAGGAACATTAAGGCCTTTGGCATCCATGGGCTGTAAAATCTTAAGGTTTTTGGTACTAACGAGGCCCCCTGTGAGAGGTAAGCCTGAACATATTGCATAAAAAAAATCTTCTTACCTGCTCGTTTTACATAAGAATCTTTGAAAATCGAAAGTACGAGAAATGGTAATGGTTGAAATCTGAGTATGAAGACTAAGAGAAACTGCAGCGACAAATGAGAAACCTTGCAAGGGAAGCACAAAAAACATAGAATCAGAGAAACTGTAGCAATAGATGAGACACCCTAGCAGAAAAGGAGAAAAAAACGATAGCCACAAGCATCGGCCCTTTCCATTTTTATAGATGGGAAAAACTGTAACCCTGCTTGGTTCATATTCTATCCTGCAGACATGGAAGATTCAATTATGTCCCTAGAATCAAATGGCACACCAAATACCTTAAGATAGATTGCAATTAACCATTTAGAATTAGAAAGAGGTTTATCTTGCAATTACAGGAATAAATCATAATTTTTTTTGAAAAGCCCTCAGGTTATTAATTATAAAGAAGTTTCCCTATGTGACCAATAAAAACCACACTAATACTTATCAACCTCCAATGATCTCAATGGCCTAAGTTCATCCTACTATACTATACAGCTACAAGCAAAACAGAACAACGAAACAATGCACATATATAGAGGACAAGAGAATAATAGGCTCATTTATTAATCAACTTATCAATCAAGAATTTACTGAAGCAGAACTGCCATTGAGATTGATGATCATCAAAGCCAATTATGTGTCAGCAGTACAAGAAACTAATATAAAGGAATAACCAAACAAAAGACATGGAGTTTTCAGCCACATTAAGAACATAACTGAAAAATATAAAATTATCATCTTTTGGCACAAAAAAGAAAATTAAAAAGTTGAGGAAACATTAAATTAAGAACAGTGCAAAAAAAACTATTCAATTTTATGAAATTTTGAAAACCATTGATAAGAAAAGACAAAACTCAATTAAAGGCTCATATTAAGAAATTCAACCATTGACTTTTTTTCTTCATGGTTCACAAACTCAAAAGCGCGGATAAATTCAAATCATCACCATCAATTTACAAAACCAGTAAAGAAAAGTAGGACACAAAAATCCCCAAAAAGCAATTTAATTACTGGGCCCCAAGAAAAATTCAAACAAAACACCCGACAAAGTGACATAAGAAATTACAGGTTTTTACAATTTAAAAAAGCTAGTCAGTATGGCAAAACAATGCGAGGAATATAGTTTTCAATGTCAATTATATGACAAAAATTTAGCAAGCAAATGTTGGCATGAGACATCAAGGCCTCAGTTACTATCCAGCGGTAATGTCAGAGTAATGCAAGTGTAAATCCAAGTAATTTCTCCTTGTAATCTCGGACTTGGAACCCTTACTCTCCAACACGCATATTATCGTCACCGACCTCGCTGAATTTTCCATAAAAATACGACAGAACCACAAGTCACTCGTACTTCAAACTTCAAACAATTTGCTATTAAACTTGGCAATCTTGTAAAAATCAAAGCTCCATGTTCATAGAACACTGAATTTTCCAAAAAAAATGACAGAATCACAAGTCACTCATACTTCAAAGTTCAAACAATTCGCTATGAGAAAAGGACAAAAATCAAAAGTCTGAAGGATAAGAAAAGAACGGGTGGTTCATTGCTTGAATCATCTGCCCACCCTCTTGCTAGAGTTGGATGGTGTAGGGTGGTATTAGACGAAGCTCAGAGCATAAAAAATCACAGAACTCAAGTTGCTCGGGCATGTTGGGGTCTTCGAGCTAAAAGAAGGAGGTGCTTATCAGAAACCCCAATCCAGAATGCAGTTCATGATATTTACAGCTACTTCAGATTTCTAAGATATGATCTTATGCTGTCTATAATTCTGTTCTATGATAAAGGCCCCTGTAAGTAGGAATCCAGCAATAGGATACAAGAAGTTACAAGCTGTCCTCAAGACAATAATGTTGCGCCGTACTAAAGGTAAATTTCAGTATACAAGTACTTACCCAAAAAAAAATTTCATTATACAAGTAATCCAGTATTGATCTTTGTGGATGATAAGGTTTTCAATATGTAGATCTTACCCCTAGTACAATTTATGAATATTAACACATTAGTAGTCATTCTGATAGTAATCCAAAAATTCTTATTGTGCATTAGCTTGGAGATTCACATGAATCTGCAAAGTTACGCACTAGCAATCTCAAAGCCTGTGTTAGGAAGTTACTTACAATGTTATTTCTAGCCAAACAATGCCATGGTGTACCTTGCGCCATCTGTGACCCAGTTGAAAACTATGCTTTCTGTCTGTGACCCAGTTGAAAACTATGCTTTCTGTGGAAATTCGCCCGTGGTGCAAATCCCAAATGAACACCATGCGTATGGTTATATATGCATAGAAGAGGCTGGGGCGACTATATGGTTAGACACATTGAAATTTGAAACTTAAGAATGAGGAAATTAGGGTTGAGGGGAGAGAGACTAAAAAGTGAGGAAATTAGGGTTGGGGAACTTCGGGTTTCTGGAACCCTCATGACCATATTGACCCTAAACAACGTTCTGTAGGACATAAAGGCTATTTAATCTAGAATATGACCTAACGGTCCCTAATCAATAGACAAAGCAGCACTAGATCCTGTGCGCCAATATAAAATCAAATAACTTTTTTTGTGACTCGAGAGTCTAAATTCCATGCTTATGTGTGTGTACGCGCACGTGGCAGTGTCTCAACTCTCAACCCTCAACCTAGCTTCCTAGATACATGGACAATTTTGGTTTGTTTGTGACATTTATGAAAGATATTGCCATAGAAGTATCTGTGAAGGTTGCCCTGAGTCAGCAGATGGCCCTGATAGCCTTTTAGAAATCACTTTGTAAAAATTTGTAACCCCACTGGTATAGTGGTGGTCCTTGGCCCAAATCAAGTCTCCAGTTCCATGCACCTGTATAACAATTGTTGTTATTTGCCCCTTTATTGCAGATAGCTCCCCTTCCAAAAACCTACTCGAAAAAGTTTATATAGAGTCAAGGCTCTAAACAATCAAATTGGAGCCCATCTCAAAAAATTTTGATATCCAAATATCGACATCAAGATGCATGGACATGAGAAAAAAATGGATTTCAAGTTTTGAAAAGTGTGTATTTTGTAATACATTTTTTTACCATCAATTTTCAATATTTTCAAGTTTTCATAGATCTATCGATCTACACTATTTTTAAAGCTTTAAACTTTATAAATAAATATGGAAATATACTTTTAAGGCTATCACAAAGATTTCCAATATTGAAACCACATTTCTCAACAGTCAACACCATTTGAAGGTAGGCTCTAATTTGATTGTTTAGAGCCTAGGCTCTATACAAACCGCACCACCCAAACCTACTTTACCATGGCCCCCTTTGGAATTCCTATTTATTATCCTTGCGGCCGTAACTGCTGCTTTTACTTACTTCATAAGGACTACATCTTGCTTTTGAATAACTCAGAAAATGATACTTCTGTTGACTGCTTTGAATTGCTAAGAACCGTGAGAATGCCTATAGCAACTGTAGAAACATCTTCCTTTCAAATGCAATAACCCATTTGGTTCCATGTCATACCCATGTTCGCTTTCTATTTTCCAAACAAACAATGGAATCATGCACCAGCTCGTTATTTCCGAAAAAAAAGAAAAAAAACTTGGAATGCTTCCTTAAAATTTCCACATATTAGGCCATGGCACCAACAACTGCTTCACCCATTCCTCAATGTTAAGATATGATTGTTGCTTCCTTTTATGCACACATGATATTGCAGTTTATCAGTTTGGGGATCATGCTCATTGGAATAGTTGATGCCCACATCTAATTCGCTTTGAGCTTAGTACTTTTCTTTCTTCTTTTCTTTCTCTTTTTGGTCTTTCTAAGATATTGGATTCATGTGAACTGCACACTTGCTATGTCAATGCTGCATCATATCCTAATCATTGTATCGTTGATCTCGCAATTGATTTTCCTAGGGACACTTCTTGATGGGGAGCCCATTGTTACCTTACCACCTAAGTCGGTGCTTCTGAAGAAGATTGATTTCTCTATGAAGGAACGTGATTTTTACTCCAAACTGGAAGAGGAGTCACGTGCACAATTTGATGTGTAGCAGTAGCATGGTTTTTACTTTTTTCGGACAGTTGCACTTATTTTCACTCTCTTGGAGTTGTTTTCTGTTTTTGTTTGCATGGTTCACTTTTACCGCTTTCAGAAGCATTTCAGGAATCCTTATTTTTAAGTGATTTCTAGATTAGCAGTAACCTCATCAGCATAATTCAGGTTTCTGTAGTTTTTAGTGAAATCCGGTTGGAAAAGCTTGTATAAATATTTTGGGTGGGAATTGATGGTTTTTGTGAACGTGTGTATGTTCTCATATGAGTTGCTCACACACATATCAACACGCACACGCAAACCCACCCACACGTTCACGCACAAAAAAGGAAGCTATACTTAATATTATTGCCAAGAATTATATTCTGCAATTCCTCTGCCCACTGTCGAAGAACGTTAGTAGGACACAACCAAAGTTCCAGCAGCTGGCCTTCCTTTTACATACTATGTGAATCTCTATTCTCCAAAGGTTTCTTATCCGACATAGCAGATTCAGAATTTTCAGCATCCTTGAGTCCATCAATTGCAGAAACCCCTGTTTCATCATCCTCATCCAAATTCAATGCTTCATGTTTGTCATGTTCGGTTGCTTCAGTAGTGCAATTGGAAGATGGAGACCTCTCCACGAGTATAAGTGCAATTGTTCATATTGTTTTGCCAAGCCCGTCAAATTGCAAACAAGAAAGGATCCTGAGTGGACTGGAACAAAAAACGACATAAATAAATGTTGATGTTAAAATTTTAAATCACAAAAGCTGATCATCAGCGAGGATTCCACCACAGCAGTGCAAACTTGCTGTCTCTTTTTGGACCATCCACGAAAGAGCAATTCGCCGTAAAGTGATACTAGAGCAGTTTATTTAACATGGCAGACCACATGGTACCATTCAGTTCAATGACTTCTCAAAAGAAAACAACATAAAATAGCCTAAATAGCCCAACCTGGTGCTCAAAAGGGGCATTGCAAGAACACCTTCTGCTGGGCTAATTTCTAATTTCTAATTTCTAATTTCTAATTTTGTTGGGATAGATCCTACAATGTATAATCACATTTCGTCTCAATTCAATTTTACTATGAAAACAAATGACAGGTGGAACTTAGAAAACTAATGTGCATCCTTTTCAGATAAAGCAACTAACAAACCATTTAAGATGGAATAGATGCAGCAGAAATAATGTCATAATTAGCCAAAAGTAGATTCATGTCTACCAATTTTAATAGGCATTATGAAATAAACAGAACCTGAATCATATCCAGGCCTTTGTGGTACCCAAACGAGTATAACATAACACATTATTTTTGGAGTAATGATCCTGTAAGATCCTCCCCCACTCATGTGTGTAGGACCCCAAAGGATCACCATTAAAGTTGGCACATATCCTTAGAAAAGTTGTTACATAGATATGAGACTTGAACTTCTATAGATCCGTGCCAAATTTAATGGTGATCCTTTGAGGTCCTATAGGATCATTTCTTTTATTCTTTTCTTATATAGGCAATAAGATGAGAGAATAGATTTTGGTGGGCTAACCATGTGTGGCGCCGACCAATATAACACATGTTTGGAGGTGCAAGTTAGTTCAAATAGAAGGACTGAAAAGACAAGAGCAGGCCCAAACGTACGTGGTCGGAAGTGGAACAGATTGACATTACATTTCTTCTCAGAGTAATTTATCCCTTAAGTGTGTCATCTATCTGTTAGTGGAATTTTTTTTTTCTTTAAGATTTGCTTGTTTCTTTTTCTTGTTCAGGTCTATGCGGCTAAGGGGACTGTTAAACTGAATTATGTAAATATCTTGTTAATGCTTCTGAGGCTTTGTCAGGTATGTGATCACCCTCAGCTCGTCAAAGGATATGATTCAAATTCCGTTTGGAAATCATCTGTGGAGATGGCTAGGAAACTCCGAAGGAAAAGCTAATACTCATGTGGAATTGTTTGGGAGCTTGCTTGGCGATTTGTGGAAGTTGCAATGTAAGATCATGGTTTCCATTGCTTTTGTTCTTGAGTTCGTTTCGTGATTTATATCTAGTGCTTGAATACCGTGCATTTCGCAATTGAAGATGAGAAATTTCGTTCATTAGAGTTTCTCAATTACAATCACTATTAAGTTATTTGTAGTCTAGATCATGCTATTAGATATTGTTTACTTTTGTATATACCAAAAGTAATTCATGCAATATAAAATATTATTTATGAAATTTTTGAGTGACTAACTTTTAATTTTGTCCGGGGTAGTGGTTTGGCCATATGGATGGATTGCTTATTCATTGTTCTCACAATATAAACACATTTGATTGTTTTGAGGTTTCATGTTGTTTTTTTTTTTTAACAGATTATAGGCCTCATTTGGGTCTTGTAGATCCAAAATTTGTAAAGTGATTCAACGGGTCAAGGTTGGAATGGAAAGATGGGTGCCCTTCTAGCCCATCATAAGTATCTTTCATTTTGAACGTTCAAAAAGACATGGAACCCTTCAACTCGGATTATACAAGAGAACATAACATTCCTTTATATAGTGCCAATTCAAAAAGTAGATGCTCACACAAATTACTCTATAGTGAGATTTTTGTACTGGTATACGAGCTTTTTTTCTCAGCAATTTCTTCAATTGATGTTTTCACTCTTCTGTGTGTTTGTGATCTCATTGTTTAGATCCTCTGTGGGAATCTTCTTCGTGTCTCCCACTGGCTTGCCATTTTGGAACCTTTGTTGTTTAGTCAATTTGTTTCTGGTTCTTTATTGTAGGATTCACCAGAGGGTGCTATGGTGACAATCTGCGGTCAAGTTTTCTGCAACCAGGGCACATGCGAACACCTTACAACTAATCAAAATATTTGCCCAGCTCAATGTGGGGCTCAATTGAGTACGACCTCAATATTTTCTAGAGCCACACTGAGCAGCTGTATCTTTGATCAGTCTGACAATGGTGGTTTCCCTTGGCATCCTGGACAGCTTCAGCCATCTGAAACAAATGCAGAACAAGGTCTTTCATACCATTCTTCAAAACATAAAACAGCTATTGAGATTCTCCAATCACTCTCTAAACCACAGCTGCAAAATACAAATTCAATTCCAGGGAGTCTTGGCATAAAATTGCTTGTGCTGGTTGGTTCTGCCTTCATGATTACGCATTTGTGGCACAAAAAATCTCCACAAGCTAAAGGTGAGGCATCAATATCACTTACTTTTCACGTGATTAACTACCTACTGAGGCGACAAAATACAATGGTGATAAGGCTTGAAAAATTTAATAGTTAAACAAAGATGTTGTTGTTTTGACACAAGTATAGACCAATAAATGGGCCAAAATGACACTCAACAGCTGATTCATATTGCACAGGGGCTTTCATCTTCATGAAAACATATAGGAGAAGCTCAAGATTTGCTTCATGCGATGACAGATATAGCAGAGAAAAACGTTAGGTCATAAAACCCAACATTTTGAGGAACATTAAGGCCTTTGGAAACCATGGGATGTAAAATCCTAAGGTTTTTGGTACTAACGAGGCCTC